GGTTCTTAGAGCCTTGTCCTTATAGACAGACTTCAGGTTCTTAGAGTCTTTTCCTTTTAGACAGACTATCAGGTTCGTAGAGAGTCTTGTCCTTATACACAGGCTATCAGTTTCTTATAGTCTTGTCCTTATAGACAGACGATCAGTTTCTTAGAGAGTCTTGGCCTTATAGACAGGCTATCAGGTTCTTCGGGTCTTGTCCTTATAGACAGACGATCAGTTTCTTAGAGAGTCTTGGCCTTATAGACAGGCTATCAGGCTCTTCGGGTCTTGTCCTTATAGACAGAGTTCAGGTTCTTAGAGTCTTTGCCTTATAGACAGACTATCAGTTTCTTAGAGAGTCCTGTCCTTATAGACAGGCTATCCGTTTCTTAGAGAGTCTTGTCCTTATAGTCAGGCTATCAGTTTCTTAGAGCGTCTTGTCCTTATAGACAGGTTATCAGTTTCTTAGAGAGTCTTGTCCTTATAGACAGGCTATCAGGTTCTTCGAGTCTTGTCCTTATAGACAGGCTATCAGTTTCTTAGAGAGTCTTGTCCTTATAGACAGACTATCAGGTTCTTCGAGTCTTGTCCTTATTTGGAGGGCCTAGTCTCTAGACATTGGCTCTAAACCTTAGGTCTATTCCAAAGTAAGTGATTTGTTCCTCTGACTGTGGTTCAAACAGGAAATCTAGATCTTACTCAATAGGGTTTAGTCATTATATTTGAAGTAGGTTTATAATGGGAACTAGACTTAACTTATTGTACATAGTGTTTGTTTCCGGATAAATCCTCTTATAAGTCCATCGGACATTATTTCACTTCCTTTCAACTTCAAAATAACAAATGGAGTCACATCAGTAATAACATAGAGGACCACCATTCAATAATTTTAAATACACTTACAACCTAACCATCCAAACTCAACTTTGATTCAGTGGTAGTAAAAACAACACCTCTCCAACATACTGTCATGGTTTTATTTGACAAGTCATCCCATTAAACATGACTTAACATGAACAAAGTCACTCAATGTTTGAGGATTTAAATTGATGGAAATATCTAAAAATATGAAAAAAACACAATTAAGGTATAGGTCTTTGCATTCATCATTTAATATTTGTTTTCATGGCTGTGGTATTAATATAGACCAGTTGACCACAGATGTGTCAGTTTCTTGTATAGTAACACCATATACATACGAATATTGAAACCCAAAATCCAACACTGCACTAGATTGTATCGTTTAATTTGAATGTGAAAATAATACATTTCTACTGCCAGAAATACCAGCTATAATATACAATACATACATTTCAGACAGAAATCCCAGCTGTATATGGTATACACAACTTATACAGAATTTCAAACATATTTCATGACCTTTTTGGACTTTTTAGGATTAGCATAGATATAAACATTTAATATTGGCATTTATAGGATTGCTTCCAAATCTTAGAAAAAGAGGGAGAAATTATTCAAAAATATCAAAATTTTCACAAAGCAATTTAACGTTGAAATTTTCTAAACTTTTCATTTTTTCATAAAAAATAACTTACATATTCTTAAGTAAAATAATGAATGAAATAACAAACTTAACATTCTGTAACACATTCCATTTGAACAATTGAAATGTTTACTTGGAATGATTTCCTGAGCAACCATATAATAAGACACTGTTGGATCAATGGTAACATTTCTAACACACTATACATATCAGAATCCACATACCAGGCACCCATTAATGAATCCTGAATTCATTATTGCATTATTTCTACTTAACTTTGCTGTTTTTTTATCAAGAACAATTCAGAAACCCATTTTCAGAACATTTTTACTCTCAGTTTTTATTTTTATTTCTCAATGAATCTGACATTTATTGAACAATATCAACAATATTAAACCATCAAAAGACCTCTAAAAAAAGCTCATCGCAAACTTTATTCTAAAAATTTATTATAAATACACATCAGAACAAGAGGCCCAGAGGGCCTGGATATCTAAGCAATTATGGCAAAATATTCTCCAAATGAGACCCAAGGGAATATGTAGCATATCTGTATTAGATTTATCATGCCCAGCAACTTTATGCATGGTTATGGAGTGGGGATCTCAACTGTTTCCAAGCTTTGACTCAGAAACTAGGTCCCTAGGGTTGTGACCAGACCCCAGGATCAATTCTAATATCATGACTGCATTCGTCTCTTTTTGCCCATTATTTGAATTTATAGTTTTGGGGTGGGGATCTCAACCGTTTCTAAGTTATAACCCTGGGGTTAAGTCTGCAATGGTGGGGGAAACCCTGGGGTCAATTCTAATATCATGACTGCGTTTGTCTCTTTTATGCCCAACAATTGTATATGTAGTTTTGGATTGAGGATCTAAACCATTATGAAGTTATGACCCAGGGATTAAGTCGCCAAGGGTGGGGCAGACCCCAAGGCCATCCTGGAAGCATATGTGCATTCATCTCTTAATACTCAGCAATTGTATATATGGTTATAGGGTGGGGATCTCAACTGTTTCCAAGCTGTGACTAAGAAACAAGGTCCGTAAAATCTTTTTGACCCCAATCCTTAGCCTGGGGGGTCAGCCCCACCATATGTACAATTTTGAATCCCTGCCTCCCATGAATGCTTCTGACCAAATATGATTGATATCCATCACTTAGTTCCAGAGAAGAAGTCGCTTAAAGCAATATAGCCAAATAACCCTTTTTGGCCCCCGCCCCTCAGCCCCATAGTTTGTACAATTTTGAATTCCTGCCTCCTATGAATGCTTTTGATCAAATATGATTGATATCCAGTGCATAGATCTACAGAAGAAGTCGTTTTTAGCAATATAGCCAAATTGCCCCCTTTTGGCCCCGCCCCTCAGCACCCTTTGGGGTCAGCCCCACCATTTGTACAATTTTGAATCCCCACCACCTAGGGATGCTTCCAGTCCAATATAGTTGATATCCATCACTTAGTTCCAGAGAAGAATTCGCTTAAAGCAATATAACCAAATTGCCCCCTTTTGGCCCAGTCCCACCATTTGTAAAAGTTTGAATCACCACCACCTAGGGATGCTTCCAGTCAAATTTAGTTAAATTCCAATCAGTGGTTAAGAAGAAGAAGTCGTTTAAAGCAATTGATGACGTACAGACGACGGACAAGGTGAGCTAATAAATGTGAAATGGGTATTTTTCAGACAAAAAACATTAGTTTAATTTTTAAATCGTTAACAAGTATTAACAGAATAGTACTATACATATTCAGGTATTGCCTGAACAACATTTCTGTCTGTAAACATGGCGTCATTGTGTCCATAACTATTATTGAATTAACTCCTGTAAATATGAATGCTGAAAAGTATCGCACATAAAGGTACATTTGATCATGATGCAGATAGAAAAACATCTGGAGTTGGTAACATGATCAGAGAAATCTATCTTGTACCCTGATTACCAAGTGTTCTGATGACAGTACAACAAACATGGTTAGAGAAATCTATCTTTTACCTTGATTACCAAGTGTTCTGATGACAGTACAACAAACATGGTTAGGGAAATCTATCTTGACTGTTACCATTATAACACAGATTCTTGGGACAGTACAACAAAGATTTCTGTATAAAGCTGTGATGTCGTGTCACCAGAACTCTCAGTAACATGATCAGAGGACCCCCTGTTGAACTGTCACCAGAACTCTCAGTAACATGAT